AGGTAAGTGTGATTGCGTTTCAGCCGGCATAAACTGCAACGGTTCCAACCGGTACAGTTTATGCCGGCTGAAACGCCCTGTCTGAACGCACCCACTGAGTCTGGCTAGCTTATCTGTGACTCTCCTTGACTTTCCTGACCCCAGAGATAGAAAGAAAAGGGCTGACTTTGTGGTATATGCCAGAGATGTATGTCAAATGCTCGTCACAGATTTGACTGACAGTTACATTAGCCTCTATGGTTGGAAAAGTGTACTTAATGTCTGGATTTAGTTTTGCTCATTGTTGTTCTGGCCAACCACCCTATCGGTCTTGGAGGAGGAGGAGGAGATGAGGAGGAGGAGGACAACAAGGAGGAGGAGGAGGAGATTGGGTTTACACCCCACCCTTCACTATGCGAAGGAGTTTCAGAGCAGCTTACAATCCCTTTCCCTTCCCCTCCCCACAACAGACACCCTGTGAGGTGGGTGGGGCTGAGAGAGCTCTCTCAAGAACTGTCCTTGAGAGAACAGCTCTGGAAGAATTTATGACTGACCCAAAGGCTCGCCTCCTTATAAAGGTACCTGTGTGGTCTGACTAATGCTAGAGACCAATCCAAATTGGCTTAGAATTTTTCAAAGGGAAAGCAGCTACTGCTTCTTTTCCCCTAGCAGTCTTTGGTGCAACGATTCTTGACATGCACCATTAGAGACTACATAGGTCGGGCACACAGACTGGGTCCGGGACCCTTACCTTGTGCCCTTTTCTGGTGTGTGTGGAGAAGGGGCTAAGTTCCGTCTTCCTCCCTGACAACATTTTCCTGATCTGAAACAATCCTGGGGGGGTGCTATTTGTCCCCTTGGGGAAACCCACAGGTGTACACACTCATCGTTTAGCGGTCATTGAGATCATTTTGCACCTAGCACATAATGGTAGTCTGTGTAACGATGCTTCTTATGTTCTGGGTCTTTTAAAATCCTTTCCAGCAACAATTTCTTTTCTCCCCCATTTGCTTTTTCCTTTGGCTCTAAAGAACGGAGAAACTTGCTTGGTACTTTAATCGTTTTAATTAGGCCCATAAAGGTATTCCCAAATTGTGACTTAAGAACATAAGCCAGTGGTCCACCTAGTCCAACATCCTGCCTCACACAGTGGCCAACCAGTTCCTCTGGAGGGCCAACAACAGGGCACAGAGGCCGAGGCCTTCCCTGAAGTTGCCTCTTGACACTGGGTTTCAGAAGTTGACTGCCTCTGAACCTGGAGGTGCTTCTCAGCCACCATGGCTAGTAGCCACTGATAGACTTACCCTCCAGGAATCTATCTAATCCCCTTTCAAAGCTGTTTATTCCTGTGGCCATCACTATATCCTCTGGCAGAGAATTCCCAATTTTAATCACTCTCTGTGTAAAGAAGTATTTCCTTTTGTCTGTCCTGAACCTACTGCCCATCAGTTTCATTGGATGCCCTCAAGTTCTAGTATTTTGGGACTGGGAGAAAAAGCTCTCTTTGTCAGCTCTCTCTACCCCATGCATAATTTTATAAACCTCTATCGTGTCCCCGCTTAACAGTCTCTTTTCTAAACTGAAAAGTCCCAGACTCTTCAGCCTTTCCTCATAGGGAAGGTGCTCCAACCCCCTAATCATCTTGGGCCCGCTCCTCTGTACTTTTTCCAGCTCTGCAGTGTCTTTTTTGAGTTACAGTGACCAGAATTGTATACAGTATTCCAAATGAGGGTGCACCATAGATCAAGGGGAGCGGTGGCACAGTGGGTATATCCCACTGTCTTAACATCTGAACTGTGTTAGTTCAAGCCCCGCGCTGGTGTGAGCAGCCAGCCTGTTGTCCCTAGCTCATCATCCACCCAGCGATTCGAAAGCTTTGGCAAGTAGATAAAATGGGAACGACTCCTTAGAGAGGGTGGGCACGCCAACCTCCCTTGTGGGAGGGCGTTAGCTGACGGTCGGATGTCCAGGTCAAGGCTTGTAAAGGCGAAACAGCTTCCTGGCTATGAAAAGAACGCCTGCAATGGATGTTCCGGCCAGGCGGTGGCAGTGTGGCGATTGACATACGGGTCCTGAAGCCTGGCCAGCAAGCAGCCGTGCGGGAAAATGACAGAGCCAGCCAGAAGACGTCTACACCGGGCAGTGACGGCGCGTGCAATTAAAATGAATATATGTTGTATTATTATTATTATTATTATTATTATTATTATTATTATTATACAGGTACATTATCGGCCATTTTATTTTCAATCCCTTTCCTAATAATCCCTAACCTAGAGTTTGCCTTTTTCACTGCTGCAGCACACTGGGTTGACACTTTCATTGAGCTATCTGCTATGACCCCAAGTTCTTTTTTCCTCTCAGACTCAGCAAGTTCAGACCCCATTAGCCTATACTTGAAGTTGGGATTTTTTTTGTCCTAATATGCATCACCTTACACTTACCAACACTGAACTTCATTTTCCACATTGTCACCCACTCACCCAGTTTGTGGAGGTCTTGTTGGAGCTCTTCACAGTCAGCCTTGGTTTTCACCATCCTGAATAATTTTGTGTCATCTGCAAACTTGGCCACTATACTACTCACCCCTAGTTCCAGATCATTTATGAATAAATTAAATAGTACCAGCCCTAATACTGATCCTTGTGGTAGTCCAGTGCTTACTTCCCTCCATTCTGAGAACTGTCCATTTATTCCTACTCTTTGCTTCCTGTCATTTAACCAGTTTTTAATCCATAAGAGAACCTGCCCTCTTATCCATGACTGCTACGTTTATTCAGAAATCTTTGGTGAGGTACCTTGTCAAAAGCCTTTTGAAATTCCAAGTATATATTGTCTACTGGGTCTACATGCTTGTTCACGTTCTCAAAGAACTCCAAAAGGTTGGTGAGGCAGGGCTTCCCTTTGCAGAAGCCATGCTGATTTCCCCTCAGCAGGCTTTGTTCTTCCATGTGCCTAATAATTCTATCTTTGAATACAGTTTCTACAAATTTGCCTCGGACAGACATGCTATGCTCAAGTCTTCTGGTACAGCAGCTGAATTTAATGAAAGGATACATATATGGGTTAGCAGATTAACTATCTCCCATCTCAATTCCCTAAGAACTCTTCAATGTATGCTATCAGGACCTGGAGAATTATCAGGTTTTTTCAATTAGTGTGGTTTTAAATAGCTTCCAGACATCCTCTAGGGATATGACTCTCTTGTGTTTTCCCTTCAGCTTCCTTTTAACTATTCCCCTCATTTTTGTAAAGTGACCTCTTTTGAAGTCAAATGTTACCGTTTTGGACTTCAGGAATAACTTTCCATTGACCAGAAAGCTGAACTTACTAGCATTGTGGTCATTGTTCCCAATTGGTGCAACAACCTCTACATCTCTCACCAGGTCTTGAGTCTCACTCAGAACTAAGTCCCAGATCACTACCCCTCTGGTCGGCTCTACAAACAACTGTTCCAGTGCATAGTCATTTATGATGTTTAGGAATTTCATTTCTACAGTATGAATCAAGCATATGTTTACTCTGTCAATATGAGGGTAGTTGAAGTCTCTCAGTATAATAACATTATCTGCTTTAGTCACCTCCCTTATTTCCTTCTCCATCTCAAGATCAGCCTCAAGGGGGTTTGATCAGGTGAGTGATAGTACATCCCCACTTTTAAGTAACCCTTACTGCCCGATATTTCTACCCATATAACTTCTGGTGAGGAGTTCCCCTGATGTTTTCTAAAATATTTGATTCTATGCCCTCTTTGATGTACAATGCAACATCTCCACCAACCTGTCCCTCTCTGTCCTTCCTATACCCAGGAATGACTGTATCCCATAGATTCCCCCCCATTCCACCATGTTTCTGCAATACCTACTATATCTAAATTGTCACTGGACACCAAGTACTACAGGTCTCCCATCTTGGCTCGATTTTTGGATGATTTTTTTTGTTTGTTTCTCAACACAGCTTGCTGCAATGTTCACTCTCATGGAACACCTTAGTGCAGCTGCCAGTACTTCCTTTGCTGTCCGATGAGCTTTTTGGAAAGTGAGCAGGGCCAATGTAAGGTCGGGCTTATTACTGGCTACCCTCATTCAAATGAAAGGGCTTTCCACTGGATGACTTTCTTTACTCAGTATTTATTTATTTAATTAATTTTTACCCTGCCCTCCCTGGCAAAGCAGGCTTCGGGCGGCTTACAAAGGATAAAACATAAAAACAATTATAACATAGGTAAAACCACATAAAACCATGTAAGTATGAGGTTCCACTTATCCTCCGGGCTTTCCTTCTAGTCAAGAAGTATGAGGCAGGAAGTATTCCATTTGGCTTCACCTCCCGCAGAAGCTGTTTTTGGGGTGGCACTTACCACTCCCTATCAAAACACCAAATGTGCCCACAGGGTCAAAAAGGTTGGGGCTCCCTGCCTTAATCCATAGGCATGCACTACCTTATATGCACTAACAGCAAGAATTACAAAGCCGGAATGTCTGCCTTTGTAACCTCCAGTTCTGACAACTGGCTAACAGCTCAAGCCAGTAACATCTGGGCTGGGCTGCCACCCAAAGCCCTAGAGGCAGATGTTGCTGCAAGAGGGAACACAAAACCTAGGGGTCGGTATGGATCACACATCTTAGAAGCAACTCTTTTTCTCCCAACAGTCTTTCAACAGTTCTTGATTCCTCCATAAACTCGATCACTTTTACTAATAAACAGGAGAGATCAGTAGGGTTCCTTTCATCAGCGAAACCAGCTCCAAGATATCTTGGCCAGATCAATAAACAACAGAGGTGCCCCCTCCCCGAGCCCAAAGACATCATTACTGAGATACTAATCAAGGTTAAAACAGCAAATCAAGGAAAGGGGTCCGGTGCTACATGCGGATACAAATGAAAAGGATGGCAATTAGTTGAGTGTTGAGGTAGGCGAGTGTCGTGGTGTTGGAGGAACAATTAAGTTATGGAGGATGGAAGGGTAAAGGATCGGACAGGTGTGTCCCACCCGCTAACATAGCCATCCTTTTTACTAACCTGGTGACTTTAAACAAAGGGAACAGAGTCCAGGTTTCTTCCCTCCTGCAATTCGCCCGACGCCTGGTTAAGGACAGGAAAGGAGGAAATTCAGGAACAAACAAACTCAGAAAGGGATTGGGGGGAACGGAGGATTTGGGGTGAACAGAGAATGCAGGAGGTAAATATATCTGATAAAAGGGGAGGGCTGTCTTTTTTCTTTTTAAACAAACAACATCAGGAAAGTTTTTCTTTTTTGATTAAAAACTGAGAATTAAAACAAACACAGCGAGAGATGGGAAAGGAGAGAGAAGGCGGTCACTGGTGCGTTGCCATGCGGTGCGGTCTCGGGTCTTCGATCACCAAGATGCTGAAGATCTGCCTGCCGCTGCAAACAGACGCAGGAATAAACACTCAGACACAGTTCCTACACTTTTGGGCCTTTGCTAGCTGGAGAAGGGGCCATCCTTCCAGCAGAGTCTCTGGAGGGTCCCTAGCTTGATGGAAGGGAACCTGCTCTGCATGCAGAAGGTCCCAGGTTCAACCCCAGGTGAACAGCTGCCAGTCAGAGTAGACAATACTGCTCTCAATAGACCAACAGTCTGATTCAGCAGAGGGCAGCTGTATGCATGTGCACATGTGTGTGTATTCACACACACACACACACTTTTTCAAGGCAAGAGAGCAGCAGAGATGGTTTGCCACTGCCTTTCTCTGCACAGCAACCCCTGTCTTCCTTGGTGGTCTCCCACCCAAGTACAAACTGTAAGAGACTCTGCTTCCCAGCTCTGATGAGCTCGGGCTAAGCTAGGCTATTCAGGCAGCTTTCTGTTTATATGTTCAAACCCCATGTCCTTTTCACCACATGTGAAGCACATTCTCCTCATGGAGGCCTATATACATAAATTAGGAATAAGGTCCGTTGTGGAAATAAATACAACGAGCTCTAGAAAAAGACTCTGGGCAGATGCCCTGGCCTCGAGCACTCGGCATCAATTTGCTGTGGCAACCTCAGCAGGGTATAATGACACAGAGCTTACCGTTTTTTCCAGGGGAACTGATCTCTGCCATCTGAATAGCAGTTGTGATTCTGAGTGATTTCCAGACCTCACCTGGAGATTGGAAACAATGGTTCCCCAGGAGGAAATGGTTGGTTTGGAGGGTAGAGTCTATGGCATTGTACCTGTCTGAGGACCCACCCCTCCTCAACCCCCACCCTCTCCAGGCTCCACCCCTCAAATCCCCAAGAATTTCCCATCCCAGCAAAACCATCTATGTATCATTATCTGCCCCTCTGACTTCAGGTTTCCATCTCTTACCCCTCAAATCTCCAGGAATTTCCCAACCTGGAGATGGAAGCCCTATCTCCTTCCCAGCCAACCATCAACCTACCTTTATCTGCCCCTCTGACTTCAACTTTCCATTCCCCCCCCCCACAGCCTCTACCTAGGAAACTACAGTCTTTCTCCACAGTGGAGACCCAAGCAGGAAGGAAGCGACCTCAGCAGGGTATAATGACACAGAGTCCACCCTGCAGAGCAGCCGTTTTTTCCAGGGGAGCTGATCTCTGCCATCTGGAGAGCACTTTTAATACTGAGTGATTTCCAGCCCTCACCTGGAGATTGGCAGCAATGGTTCCCCAGGAGGAAAAGTACAGTCTTTCTCTGCAGTGGAGACCAAAGCAGCTTACATTAATCTCCTCTCCCCCTTTTGATCTGCACAACAACCATGTGAGATATGTTAGGCTGAAAGTCTGTGACTGCTCCAAAATCACCCACTCAACTTCCACAGCAAGAACCTGTGTCTGGCAGACCCTGCTCTGAAGTACTTACTGCTTTGTCTAGGGTAGCCAACCTCCAGATGGAGCCTGAAGATCGCCGGGCATCACAACTGAACTCCAGACAACAGATCTCTCCACCCCGGAGAAAATAACTACTTTGGAGGGTGGGCTCTATGGCATTCTATTCAGCTGAGGCCTCTCCCCTCCCAAAACTCTGGCTTCCATAGACTCCACCACAAAATATCCAGGAATTTCCCAACCTGGAGCTGGCAACCCTAGTCAGGACAGGCCCCAATGAGGTCCCCACAAAAGCCTGGAAAGGGCCTCCTGTCTTTGTCTTTGCTGCTATATGAACCCAGCTTGGTTGCCTAGCAACAGCCACTGAAGGAAAAGTTAGTCCCACAGGAGCCAAGCAGGTAAAGTGTCTTTGTCAGGAGAGGCAGCCATTTTGGCAGTTTATTTTGTGAGGGAAGAGTGTCTAGGCTGACAGTGGGCGGGGAGAGGAACAGACCCAGTACTCAGCCAATGGCACACGAGTACTCTTGAGTGGCGGTTGATGAGCCAATGGCTGATAGAGTGCACAGCACAGCCAATGGGAGAGCTGGAAATGGCCAACGCGTTAGGGCAATTATATATCTCGGATATCCAATTCATACAGTTCTCCTGCCTCTGAAGGTGGTGGTGATGGTGGTAGAAATGTATGGAAATCAGACACCTGCACAAATGGGTACAATGTGAAATTATGTATGTAGAGGATGGGAGGAGAGAGGTACTCTTTCTCCTCTACCTTGTAGAGAGAGAAAACAGACAGAGGAGGAGCCGTGGCTCACTGGTAGAGCATCTGGTAATAAGTGATGTGAAAGACCTTCAAGCTGAGACCTTGGATAGCAACTGGCAGGGAAAGAAGACAGTACTGACCTTGTAGACCATGGGGCTGGCTCTGGATAAGACAGTTTCATGCCTATCTTAGGATGATTGCATTAACAAATGGTTGCTTGGACTTCAACTAGTGTTGGTACCCACACCTTTAAATGCTTGTACAAGACTGCACCTATTATATCTTTTGTTCTGTTTCTTCATTAATCCTCTCTCCTACACTCATCCCCAAACTGCCGTGGAGCAAAACTAGAAGCTTGTTAGGTGGAGGAGCATAATAGGTAAGCGATACATCACAGTGAGAACCTTCAATTTCATTTATAAGCACACAAGTGTCTAGTCCTTATGAGTACAATGGCCTACTTGGATAATTTATCAGCAGTGCCCAGAGCTGGGTCTATGTTGCCGTTCTGCCGGAAGACACAACTATCTCTGAACTAATTATATTTATTTGTTTGTTTATTAATCCATTTATATCCCTCCTTTGCTATGGTTCAAGGCAGCATATAAGAATAGTAAAAAAAACAAAAAAACAGGTTGCTTACCTGTTACTGGTGATCTTCGAGTGGTCATCTTTGCATTCACACCCATGGGTTTAGTGCGCTTGCGCTTAACCAGATAGGTGTTGTAGCAAGCTCCAATGGATTTTCACGCCCAAACCTCGGGCAAGCGCAGGAACCCCCACTGTGCATACCCAGTGGGACGAGTGTGGACATCCTGCCAGTTCCTTTGGACCGCCTCAAACTCAAGAAACCAAGTTAGAGTCTGACAGCAGTGGGGAAGGAGGGCGGGCGGTGTGAATGCACAGATGACCACTCGAAGATCACCAGTTACAGGTAAGCAATCTGTTTATTTTCAACGTGGTCTCTGTGCTTCACACCCATGGGAGACTAGCGAGCAATATCCTACCTGGAGGAGGGTGCTGGCAAGTAGTTACTGCGACACAGACGAGAGAACCTGATGGCCCATGGCTGTGCGAGTCGAGCCGCGGACATCAATCGCATACTGTCTGATGAATGTATTCGGTGTTGACCAAGTGGCTGCATTGCAAACATCAGTAAGGGAGACGCCCTTCAGGAATGCAGTGGAAGCGGCCACAGCCCTGGTGGAGTGTGCTTTAAGTTGAGTTGGCAGAGGGCATTTGGCAATGAGGTAACACAGACGGATCAGTTCAACAATCCACCTTGACAGGCGCTGGGACGTGATGTGAGTTCCAGCCCTTTTAGTGGCATAAGAGACGAACAGGTGCGGATCACGCTTGGTAGGGTGAGTCCTCTGTAAGTAGAAGAGGAGTGCCCGCTTTGTGTCCAATGTGTGGTAGAGACGTTCCTCCGGAGACTTCGGGGAAGGATAGAAGTCCGGCAGGAAAATCTCCGCCTGAAGGTGGAACTCTGACACAACCTTCGGAAGGAAGGATATGTCCAGGACGAGACTCACACCATCAGGTAGGAATCTAAGGTAGGGTGGATCACACCTGAGCGCCATGAGTTCTCCCACCCTACATGCAGAAGTGATGGCTACAAGAAACGGCGTCTTCCAAGAAAGAAGCCGCATATCACACGTTGCAAGCGGCTCGAATGGAATCCGTGTAAGCTGGCGTAAGACCATCGGAAGATCCCGCTGCTCCACAGGACCTCGGACAGGAGGGTAGAGATGTAAGAGTCCCTTTAGGAAGTGTTTGGAGAGGGGATGAGAAAAAACTGAGTGTCCCTCAACTCGAACATGGTATGCCGATAAGGCGGCTAGGTAAACCTTTAATGAGGAGTGTGACAAACCAGAGTCGGCCAAGGATAACAGAAAATCAAAGATCCTTGTCAGACCAGCCAGAGATGCTTGAGAAGCAGGCACACCCATAAAAGAACAAAAAAATTTCTATTTGCATGCATAGGATTTATGTGTGGAGGGTTTCCTAGCATTGATCAAGACCTCAGTCACACGTGAGGAGAATCCCTGCGGCACACCCTCCAAGCCGTCAGTTTGAGGTGGCAGACATCGTGATGCAGTAGCCATGTTCCTGAGAGGAACAGGAGATCCGGTGCTGGAGGGAAGTGATGAAAGATGTCCTGGGATAGGTTGAGGAGTGTCGCGAACCAGGGTTGGCGTGGCCACCACGGGGATACCAGAATGCAGTGTGCGTTGTCGTTGAGAATCTTGTGCACGACTCGCAGAAGCAGCAGAAGAGGGGGAAACAGGAAGAGATAGTCCTGGGTCCAGGGGTAGATGAGCCCATCTCTCAGGGTCCATGCCCCCCCCCCGCAAAACCTCGGGCACTTTCTGTTTGATCTGGTGGCAAAGGCATCCACCTGCGGATGCCCCCATCTGTGGAAGAGAGGCTGAAGGTATGTCCAATTGAGTTCCCAGTCATGTAGGCGAAGGCTTCCTCGGCTGAGGCTGTCTCCTTGAACATTCAGGTGGCCAGGTATGTGGATTGCAATCAGATGGATGCGTTGAAACAGGCACCAGTTCCACAAATGAATCACCAGATCACAGAGGCAATGGGACACAGTGCCCCCTTGTCTGTTTACGTAACTGAGTGTTTATGTTAACTGGTGTTGTCTATGAGTACAGCCACACATCACCCTTGGACTAACAGCAGGAAGGAGTGGAGGGCGAATTCTATCGCCAAGAGTTCCAAAAAGTTGATGTGACGAGTTCGGAAGCTTGGAGACCACCTGCCCCCAATGCAGAGGCCTTGGAGATGTGCCCCCCATCCCCATTGCGACACGTCTGTTGTCAAGCTCACGGTAGGTGCTGGAGAATAAAAGGGGGCCCCCTGGAAAAGGTTGTTGGGGGAAGTCCACCACAACAGAGTATTCTGTATATCTGGAGGGACGGACAGACTGAGTGTTTGGAGATGCCTTGCCGGATCGAAATTGCGGATGAACCATAGTTGAAGAGGGCGCATCCGCAGTTTCGCAAAGACGAGGACCGACGTAGTGGCGGCCATCAGGCCAAGTAGCCATTGTATCAGCAGTGCCGTTACCGTGGGCTGAGAGGCAACACATTTGGCGAGGTTGATGATGTGCCGGGCCCTATCCTGTGGCAGGAAGGCTCGGCAGCCAATGGAGTCCAGGCACGTGCCTATGTACTGTACCCATTGGGCAGGTTGTAGGTGGGACTTTTCGGTATTCACCCGAAGGCCCAGCGTGTTAAGCAACCTGAGAGTATCCTGTATGTGACGTAGAAGCCTGGAGTCAGCAACCAGAAGCCAGTCGTTGATGTATGGGTAGACACTGATCCCCTGAAGATGGAGAAATGCTGCCACGACAACCATAGTTTTGGTGAAGACCCTGGGCGCGCTGGCGAGGCCAAAGGGGAGAACCATGTATTGGAAGTGGTGTTGACCTATGGCAAACCGGAGGTAGGGCCTGTGTGAAGGATGTATTGCTAAATGAAAATAAGCATCCTGAAGGTTCAGGGTGGCCATCCACATTCCTTTCTGGAGCAGTGGCAGAATTTGTTGAAGGGAGACCATCCGGAAACAGCGGTACTAGACGTAGTTATTGAGTCCTCTCAAGTCCAGAATCGGGCAAACACCACCATCCCACTTCAGGACGGTGAAGTAATGGGAATAGAATCCCCTGCCTCATTCTGAAGGTGGTACCAGTTCGATGCATTCTTGGCGAGAAGGCCTGCGACCTCTTCCAGTAGGGCTGGGGAGGGAGGGTGCAGACAAATATAGGTAGGACAGGGAGGTGCGTAAACTCTATAAGGTAACCAGACGTTATCACCGAGAGGACACAAGAGTCTATTGTAATATCCAGCCAGGCCAGAAGGAAAGCTGCCAGGCGGGCATCGTGGGGAGGGGAGGACAAAAAGTTAAAGACCCTGCTTGGATGTCTTCGCAGGCTTAGATCTATTGGATTGTTGTCCCTGGCCAAACTGCTGGCGTTACCGATAGGGTGGATGTTGGCCCCTGAGGAAGAACGGGCCCTCCATGAACGGTCCGGTGACTGCCTATTGTAGGGACGCTGTTGCCATGGCCGAGACCAGGTGCGTGGTTTAAAGGTTCTTGAAGACAAGGATACACCTTGATGCTCTTATCCATGTCCTGTAGTGCACCATCAGTGGAAGCATGGAAAAGTCCCAAACCGTCAAAGGGAAGGTCCTTGACTTATGACCTGGTGTCTATTTGCAAAGATGTAGTGCGTAACCATGAATGTTTGCATAGCGCTATGGTGGTGGACATTGTCTTGGAGGCTGCGTCCAGAGAATGCTTAGCCGTGTTGATTTGTTGTTTGGCAAGGACCAGGCCCTCTTTTTGTATTTTCCTGGCCTGCTGGCATTTATCTTCCGGTAGGGCGGCCAAAAACTCTGAGAGGCGTTCCCACAGGGTGTACTGATAACGGCTCATACACGCCTGGTAATTAGTGCTCTTCACACCCAGGGCACCCGTAGAATACAAACACCTTCCAAAGGAGTCAAGTTTCTTGCTCTCCCGGTCAGAGGGAGTGGAGTGAGTCTTCTTTGACTTAGAGGAGGACGTCACCACCATGGAGTTCGGTTTCGGGTGACTTAAGAGAAATTCAGCGCCGGCTTCTTGGACCCGATACATGTGGTCCAATTGGTGTGAGGAGACAAGCGTGGACGAGGGTTTGTCCCACGGTGCCTTGGCCGCTTGCAGAAGGACCATTGACATCAGTAGCGCTATCAGCGTCAAAACATCTAGTTGGACCACGTCGAAGACAGTGTCGGAGACCAAGGGTTGAGGTTGGAGTACTGAAAGTCCCAGTGAGTGAGCCATACGTTTGATAAGGTTGCCGTAAGAGGACATGTCCTCAGAGGGTGAAATAGGCAGGTTATCTGTTACTGACGGCCTTGGAGACGGATCGTCGGGCGAACTGCCTGGGTCCGACAGCTCCGATTCAGAAGCCTCCGCTGCGGATGATGAAGATTCGTGGTCTGGCACTTGTGTCGGGGGTTCCAACTGGACTGGGGCAACTCCAACCGGTGGTAATGGCGTCGATACAGAAGTCTTCGTATCAAAGGTTTAAGCGGTGTAACCTGGTCACGCTGGTCCCTGTGAGCTGGTGGATGTGGGCGAGGAGACTCTGGCGCCCTGGAGACTGTGGCCGATGGAGGCACTTGAGGTCGATGGGGTGATCGGGATCGACGTGTGGAATATCGGTCCCAATCCAAGAACCTGGCGGGGGTCAACCAGGGCATGGTTGCACTGGGCGGATAAGTTCCATAGAGGTATTGGAGTTGTCGCTGATCCCATGGTATCGGTTGAATGGGGGGTTGATAACCCCTGGGAGAACAGTCCCTTCCATGAACGCGTCTTGGAGATCTGGAAAGGCCCCGGTCACGGGAACGAGAACGGGAGTGATGGCGAGGCAAGACTGGTGGTGTGTAATCAGAAAAATTGCGACGTTCACCCGACGTTCGGCAATGACGAGGACTCCGGTCTCAACCCTCGTTATTGACTAGTGAGGGCGATCGAGAAGGCGAGGAAGAGGAAGGTGGTCTGTCCCACCTGGAGATGTGGCTGAGACCAGCGACTTCATCGATATCAGAACAGCGTTCCATGTCGATCAGGATTGGAAGCTCCCTCCGAACGGGCGAGTCGAGCAGCTGGATAGGTGGCTGCATAGTAATCAGTGGGGCCTCCGGCATTGACGGCCCAACAACTGTAGGCTGATCCTTGGTGGCCACAACGGTGGGAGGGTCCATAGCAACATCGGGCCAAGGCGCCTTAGGGGATTTAGTACTGCCCTTTTTGGCTGCCCTGCCTGTCTTCTCAGCCCGGTCTTTCTTCGGTACTGGTACTGATGGAAGCGTAAAAGCAGATGGAGCAGTCGACGTGGAAGTTGTCGGCTGCGAAACAGGATCCATTTCCAATGTGTGAAGGGGCTAACGCAGATTCTAGAAGGGCTACCCTCAAGCGCGCTGTCCAGTTCTTCTGCGTTTGGTTTGAGAATTTAGCGCAGTGAGGGCAGGAGTCTGGACAATGAGCCTCCCCCAGGCAGAATAGGCAAAGAGTGTGGCCAATTTGCTTCCGCAAGAGGTACAGCGGTTGAAAACCCCCCACTTTTTATTCCTTTTCGCCATAAACTAAGAACAGGCGATGAGAGGAAAAAAGGCGGCGGGGGGGGGGGGAGAAAACACAGCGACCGCCTCCCCTGGTTCTTGTTTTTTTTTTTTTAAGCCGCCAAACGAATTAAAGAAAAACAAGAAGAATGAGGAAAAGGGTCCTGAGGAATCCGGAGCTACTAACTGACAAACTACTGAGGTAAGTTCACCGACCAAAAAGAGCTGCGAACAGCGCGGCGGTCAGAAAAAAACCGGTGGGATGTCTGCGCCCGTCCCTCTGGGCATGCGCAGTGGGGGTTCCTGTGCCTGCCCGAGGTTTGGGCGCGAAAATCCGTTGGGGCTTGCTACAACACCGATCTGGTTCAGCGCAGGCGCACTAAACTCATGGGTGTGAAGCACAGAGACCACGTCGAAGATCAAACATTTTCAGTTAGAAACAAAATAAAATACCAGACTCTCCTTCCCTTCTTAGAAGATGCCCTGGAAAACAGGCAGGGCTTGCAGAGGCTCCTGGAGATCTCCAAGGAGGGGGTCCCCCCTTCACCTCTTCAGGGAGCCCATTCCACAGAGCTGGAGCCATGACAGAAATGGCCCAGGCTCTGGCTGATACCCGATGGGCCATCCTGAATGGTGAGATAGCTAACAGATGGTGGCCTGAATACCATAGCTGGCACACAGGGATGTACAGAAGGAAACAGTCCTTCCTTCAAATATGTGGGTCACCGGTCGTGAACGGATTAATTGATAACACCCAGGTCCAAAGATCCAGACAATCTCACTCACACACACACACCCTAAATACACACACACACACACACACACACACACACACACACACACACACGGGTATGGTTGAGAGACAAAACTCCATCTAGTTGATTCTGAACATCCGGTGGAGACTCTTTGTGTCCCATCAAGACAGAAAAGAGTAAAGGCCTGTGCCCTTAATACCAGCTCCATATTCAAGCTGATGGATAAGACTCGCAATGATGGGTTCAAATTAAGGGCGGGAAGGTACCGTCAGGATTTTAGGAAAAACTTTTCTACAGTAAGAGTTGTGTCAACAGTGGAATCAGCTGCCGAGGGAGGTGGTGAGCTCCCCCTCACTGGCAGCCTTTAAGCAGCGGCTGGACAAACACTTGTCAGGGATGCTCTAGGCTGATCCCGCATTGAGCAGGGGGTTGGACTAGATAGCCAGTATGGCCCCTTCCAGCTCTATGATGCTACGATTCTGTGATTCTATGAACCTTCATGTTCAGAGGTAGTACATCTCTAAACAGCAGTTGCTGGGGGGGGAGGCAGCTTTTGCGAGGAAGCATCCACACAGCATCATCCTCTGAGCATCCACTCCCAACTCTGTGATTCTAGGATTCTATGGATGGAGTGGTCAACTCTGTCAAAAGCAACTGAGAGGTCCAATGAAATCAACACGGATGATTGTCCCCTGTCCAGCTTTAAACAAAGATCAACCACCAGTGCAACTAAGGCCATCTCAGTACGAAACTCAGGCCTGAAATTCAAATTAGCCAAGTGCAGACATATCATCCAGGAAGCCCTGGAGCTGCTCCGCCAACACACATTCTATCACCTTCCCTAGAAAAGGCAAATCGGAGACTGGCCTATAATTGGCCACCTTATCCCTCCTCTCTCTGTGTGCACTTTATTGTCCCCTTAGTCCTCACATGGCTCTTCGTGGAGTCACACATCTCTACAGGTCTCCCCTGTAGATACAATGCCCTCATACTTCCACACATGTGACGCTGAATTATCTGGCCACTGTGGCAGGGATCATATTCCATACATTAGGCTTCTCTCTGTCCCCTTGTGGATAGAAGAAGAAGAAGAGATTGGATTTATACCCCGCCCTTCACTACCCAAAGGTGTCTTAGAGAGGCTTACAAACTCCTTTCCCTTCCCCTCCCCACAACAGACACCCTGTGAGGTAGGTGGGGCTGAGAGAGCTCTTGACAGAAACTGCTCTTTTTCAAGAACAGTTCTTATCAGAACCATGGCTTGCCCAAGGTCATCCAGCCAGGTGCAAGTGGGGGAGGGGGGAATCAAACCCGGTTCTCCCAGATTAGAGTCTGCATACTTAACCACTACAACAAACTGGGTCTCTGAATGTGAACTGAATCTACTTGAATCAATGTTTTACTTTTGCAATCTACTTCTTGGGAGATATGTTTTACTACATGTGATAATCACGCTTCTATGACTGGGCAAATGCCGCTATATGAACCAAATAGAAATCCCCAAGCACAGTCATCTTCGGGGCTCTCGGCACCAAGTCCA